ACAAAATAAGGAGGAAACCATTATTACATCATTCGGTTCTTCACAGTTGACCTACAATACAGGGTAATGCCCTGACATCATAGCATGCTTGTTTCATTTACACCAGGTGCTCGTGTGTTCACAGCTCCACTTGTACTGACATGAGAACAGACCTTAGAACAGAGGGGAGGTTTAGAATTGACTAAAGACGACAAATTCGAAGAAGGGGTTACTTTGAAAATTTTCTTGTGACCAGATGTTTAAGTGGAATCACAGATGTTCTACATCCGTTGCCAGCAGCACATTAACAAAGATAGGAGGTCAAAAAAAGAAAACCTGCAGCTGTCCAATGCTTTTGTTGCTGAATTATTTCCTCAGTAACAAATGAGAGGCAGGTCTATATGTCTATCAGTACTTCCCCTAATGCACTATATCCCCAGCAGTTACAGTACTGGTTAAGACTGAAGATTCCTTTAGGTACCAGTATTTTACTCATGTCATACTGAATATGAGCTTCAGTGAACTAGTGTTGATTATCGGAACACTATTAGTCCCGAGCCTGAGTATTTACATTTTCTACCATTGAAATTCCTCCAAGCAGTGATGCCAGCAGAAAGTCTCTTTAGAATAACAAGAGGAAACAGAGGAACAAGTGGGTATACCTGTCAAACTATTGACACTGAGTCTCTTTAAGACACAATACAAACCCACCACAGCAATGACTGATGAGTTAGAAGCAGGACCACACTTATTACCCTTTTAAGTTGTGTAACAGGATTTAAGGCCACACTCGCGGCACAATTAACTGTTTTCCAAATGTAAACAAGAAAAGCTTATAGTAGAATGAAATGACTGATTACAGTGAAATGCTGTGAATACATGTCTGACGCTAGAGGTAAGCTGAGTCTTTCCCTTCCCAGTTTCATTCTCAATAGTAAGGTGACCTTTTCATTCTCTATTGTAAGAGCGGCACAGCTGGAAGAGAGGAAACATGGAGCTGTAGTCTGTCAGGAAGTCACCTCCCACTCCGGCTGTACTGCTGGAAAGATAAGAAAGCAGGTTTCTATTGTACACAGATAATATTCTCCATCCAGTTTTAGTCGGGACACTACTGAAAGTTTCTGTTTTCAGACTTTAAAAGACTGAAAATGAACATGCTGCACTGCATTTGAAGAATGAGTGTTTTATATGTAGCAGCTCAGAGTATTTCACTCTTTGGTTTTCTCTTGCAATCTTTGACTGTGTGTGCCAGTGGCAAACTAGCATTATGTTAAAGTATTTTTGTGACGACCTGACAAGTGACCCTACATGAGAAGTCCTTATCTAAGAATCAATATTAATTTGGTGCCTGACTAAACATACTCTGTCACTCTGACTTCAGATCTGTAATGCATAATTTCAACACCATCCCTGCACTGAAAATGGCTGTATTTTTTCCAGATGTGCACTGGAAAAACAGCAGCTCATTGATGTCTCAACCTTAACTTTGTGACTAATAAACACATCAAAATGTCTTTCAACACAAGCGTGGGCAAACAGTTCAAGACATGAAAGGAGTTGGATGTCCGTGACATAATATCCTGTGTGTTAAAAATAGGCTGAACTGAACATGGAAATGTTCTACCTGATGCTGTGTGACGCGATCTAACAGGTCGACTTTCCTCAAGTCATCACTGATGAGGCTCATGTTACTTTTCATGAGCACATCTCAGAAACATCTACTGTCTCACAGCCAGGGGAGGATCTAGAAAATTTTGTACAGGGTGGCCAGGCTGGGGCACGGAGGGCCTCAGAGAGGGGTGGCACATATGAAATACATGTAAAAAGTCAATTAAACCCCTGGTTGTATGAAATAACAAACCATAGATTATTAAGAATCAAACTGTTTATTTTGTGTAAAAATGAGACACGTAGCGCTTCCTTTGGCTAACTGTGGCTCCGCTCTTTATTTACTCCCGACCGGGGACATTGCTGCTGCACAGCAAACCGCCCTCCCTCACTGAGGCAAATACTCCACAACAACACAATCAAAGAAATGAATGTAAATATCATGCCTTTCTAAATCTGCGTTTTCTTTTGTTTTTTCTTTATATCTCATTGTTTTTCCATCTTCAACGCTTCCCTCTTTCCTTCAGATGTTGTGAATGTGGCTGTATCCTGTCTCACTGGTACTATGAAAGAGAGGGGCAGCTATACTGTAAGAAGCACTACTGGGCCCGTTATGGAGAGCACTGCCACGGCTGCAAGGAGACCATCACAACAGGACTTGTTATGGTGACATGATAAACACTTCTAAAGCATTAAAATGCTTGCACCACAAAACAATAAAATAAGCACAAATTTGATGTGCATTATTTCTTTTATGGTATCACTTTGACACTTCTAGGACAAACTGAAACTTAATAGCACGGTAAACCAATTCTTTACCTAAGTCTGTGCAGGCTACAAATGTTATTGTCCATTCACTAAATGAGTGTGTATGACGAAAGGCTCATTTCCTGACCATTTTCCCCCTCTGGTCTGGTCTTGTTTTGCTGTGGTGACTATCATTCCATTATAATTAGTCACAACATCCCAGTTAATGACCCAACAAACAGTCCCAAGCCAAAGTCATGGCAGCAGATAATCCTCCTCTCTGTTCTTCTGCTCAGTCGATCAAAAGTGTTTTGAACTCAGCCAGTAGCAAACCAACTGATAGATGGTTGGAGAGTTCAAAGCAGCTGCTCAACTGATCATCACAGAAGCATCAGTTGTTCAAAGTAACATGTGGCCATGCAAATATCCAATATTATGTATGTATCACAGACTGAAGTATGGCCAACCAGAAGTAGAAAACCTCAGCGCGTTACACTAGCTTTTCATACATTTAAAGCCTTC